TTTGAGAGTACTGCTTTCCTTTGGGAAATGCTTAATTTAATGTAGTCATTGGATTTTGGGGTTTTAAATTGTTTGTTTTGTTTTATTTTTGTTTTTGTTTTTTTTTTTGAGACAGGGTCTCACTATGTAGTTGAGACTGACCCGGAACTCACTATGTAGCCCAAGCTGGTCTTGATTTAACAGTGATCCTCCTGCTTCAGCCTCCTGAGTGCTGGGATTACAGGCTTGCACCACCACACCCAGCTTGGGTTTTTAAATTGTTAAATGTGACAAAGAAACTGATTATATTGTAAAACAAAAACCCTATGTAAGAAGGATGTAAGAAGGTTTAAGAGTTGATGAATTCAATAATTCAGTAATAAAATTCCTTCACTCTGCTGAAGGTTTCCTCCCACAGTTGTTTTACCCGTGGATACATGACTGCAACAGCTTTGTCAGAATTAAAAGTTATGGTGATGATTCTTTATTCTGACTACTCATCCACTGCTATTGAATGTTTCTCCAGTAAATTATGATTAAAATTTGTTTAATAGTGTACAGGGTTTCCACTGTGGGTAAACGGATCATTAAGAGAGAAATTTGTTAATCTAGTTAATTGCTATCTTTGTATTTGTGAGGTTAGAATTAGCATTTCACATGTTTAGCTATGCTGTACTCCTTGGGCATAGCTTGTAACTGTGGCCTTGATGAGTCATTACTAAATGTGAATGGTAAGGAGGTATGTGTAGGTTATGGGTCAGACACAAATAGCATTTTGTGAACATTAAATAGGGTTTTGTGAACATTAAACAAGTCATTAAATCTCAAGGTTTGGAGGGAACTAATAGACAACTTGATTTAACCATCTTTTGATCTAATAAATATAAAATCCTGTATGTCAGAAACACTGATTTAGCCAGGCATGGTGGCACATGCCTGTAATCACAGCCCTTGGGAGGCTGGGGCAGGAGGATCACTGTGAGTTCGAGACCAGCCTGGGCTACATAGTGAGTTCCAGGTCAGTCTCAACTACATAGTGAGACCCTGTCTCAGAAAAACCAACCTCCCCACAAAAAGAAACACTGATTCATATTTTAATTAAAATTGAAGTAGTATCTTTTAAATCCGTTTAATCTCAACATTCATCTGATATAATTCACAGACTAAAGAGCTAAATGCTAAAAATCTCAAGAAAAAGTTTTTTTTTTTTTTTTTTTTGTGGTAATGGGGATTGAACTCAGGCCCCTATGCTTGCAAGGCAGGCAGTGGAACCACTGAGCCAAAACACTGGCCCCAAGAAAAAGTTCTTAACATATTAGGAACCCTTTGTTTCAAGCAGTAGCTGGTATTATTTTGAGGATCAGTTCTAGGAGTAAGGATTACTAATGTTTTTGATATACATTATGTTTATTTTGTCTTCCTTGATGAGTGAAAAGCTTAGATATTTCAGTTTGGTTTATGATCCAGACAACACAAATTTCATAGATGTGTTTCTGACTGTTGTAATGGAAAAGGAAAACATTTTCCACAGATCATTTGCATGTGCTTCAGATTTATTTTGGAAAGTCTAATTTTCCATCAAATAACCTAAAAATTAGTCAGAGGAATTCAAGACTTGAAACAACATTCCTGATTAGTGTGGACATCTGAGGAATTCCACAAACATTGAAGGGACTATGAGTGACCACAGTGACGTTACAAGTGGGTGTTGGTTAAGTTCTATTTTTGACTTAGTGATGTGAACACTGATGGAAAGCAGTAACAATTTTCTAGTTAGATTTTGTTTTTTGTAAAAATTAAAACACTTTGCACTGTGCTGAGGGTTTTAAAATTTTTTTATTTTTTTATCTGTTTTTCATTCAGATTTGTTTTTTTTCTCATTGAGTTTAAATTTTTTTTATTTTAATTAGTACAAATTTGTAGTACATAATGATTATATTTATCATGAAGATTTAGTACATGTATATAATACATCTAAGTTCTTTTTAATCTCTATCTTTTGATCTCATTTCCTTTTGCAATAGGATCTATCTTTGCTTCCTATTTTATATCTTTTATTTTGCTCTTTTTTATTTATATTTTGGATTTCTTATGTAAGAGAAATCATGGAATATTTAAGCTTGTTTGTCTGACTTATTTCATTTAACATTATAGTCTTAAGGTACATCCATTTTCCTACAAATGACTCAAGTTTATCCTTCTTTAAGGCTGAGTAGTCCTCCATTGTGTTGAGTTTTTATAAGACTTGTAGAATTTTGTGATGCAGGAATTAACCCCTTGTATGTAGAAACCATCAATATTAAACATACTTTAGAGACTGCAAGCATCAGAGGAGCATACCTAGGGCCCCCTGTGTGGAACCTGAAATTATTTCCAGTTAGTAAGACTGAGACACTTTAGGCTTGCCCACCAATTAATTATGCCCTTTCTCCTCTTGTTTCAGTTACAGTGTTTGAATATGGGCTTCATCAGACACTCCCATCAGTATATGGTAACCTCTTTTCTCAGATGATAGATGATAGTCTGTTTAAATGCAGAGCCCTTAAGGTGAACAACATTAAATATACTGGATTTACTTTAGTTGAATTTATCTTTATTAGAAATATGTTTTTTCCTTAATAGCAACACAAGAAGGGGCCAGTCATCTGTCATTCAGTATAACTTGTTTTTAGGGGTTTCCCCTATACTTAGTAAGGAGCAGTTCTATTTAGGACTATGTATTGTAATCATTTCCAGGAGTCTTTATGACTTCTTATATAGAGTCTGCTAGATAAATACTTAAATAAAAATTTCAGGTAGTACTGCATGTAGAATATAGAATATTTACTATACAAGGGCACATGAACAAGATGTAAGCAGGAACTGAATTCCAGCCTGACTTCTGCTTGGAGAGCTGTACTCCATGCAAGGCATTTATTAATTTGAACTGAGCCATGGGGTAATATAGGTTTTAGAGGCCCTAATACTTCTGTGTTGTATGTAAAATATTTCCTGAGCCATCTCATACTTTGAAACTTGAACTATTTCAACTTACCATTTTGTCATGGTTTTAAAAAATTTTTGGTTAAATATACAGAATATAAAATTTACCATTTTAATCATTTTTAAGTATATGGTTTTTATGGCATTAAAATGCACTCATATTGTTGGGAAGCTATCACCATTGTCTATTGCTAAAACTTTTTAATCTTCCTCATGAAATTCTGTATCCAGTAAACTCTTAACTTCCCATCCACATTCTCCACACTTTGGTGGCAATTTCTCTTCTTATTTCTGCTTCTATGCATTTGAGGATGGAGAAATATTTTATATAAGTGGAATTATACATTATTTGTCCTTTTGTTATTGGTTTATTCATTTAACATAATGTCTTCAAGGTTCATCATTTTACTGTATGTGTCAGAATTTCCTTCTTTAAGGCCGAATAATATTACGTTATATGTGTGCACCACATTTTGTTTATCTGTGCGTCAGCTGACACTTGGACATTTTTTGGGTATCTTACTCACTTTCCTCATCCCTCTGACAAAATACCTGATCCCTGCAGCTTAAAGGAAAAGGATATTTTGTCACAATTTGTATAGATTTCAGTACATAATCCGGTGGCTACAAGGCAGGACAGAATGGTAGAGAGGGATAGTAGAGGAATAGCTGCTTAAGACATGGCATCCGGGAAGGAGTGGGGGAGGGGAGGGAGGGGGAGAGAGAGAGAGAGAGAGAGAGGGAGAGGGAGAGAGAGGGAGAGATCAAAGAGCTGTGGAGGAAGATAAACCCTTCCAGGCCATGCCCCCAGGGACCCACCTCTTCTGACAAGTCCCTGTCTCCTACCAGCAAGTCAGTTATGTGTCCTCATAATTCAGTTACCTTACAAAAGCCCCATCTTTGAGCACATGACTCTTAGGGTGGGGTATCTAGATATGAGCCATAACAATGGGCATACACATCTTCTCTGATTTTAATGCAGTTTTATATATATTCAGGAATGTGATTGTTATATGGTACTTCTGAGTGTTTAATATTTTGAGGAATTGCCATACCCTTTTCAGAGCAGCTGTATAGGTTTACTTTTTTTATTAGTACATGTTTGTAACACATAATGTGTACATTCCTTGTGAGGAGGTGGTACATGTATGTAAACAATCTTAATTCTTTTTTCCCTCTCATCTCTCCCTACTTCCTTATGATCGATACCCTTTCTCATTCGAGACAGACCTGTCTTGCTACTTCCTGTTATCTCTTTTATTGTGCTCTATTTATAATTTGGATTTCTTATATGAAACCATGTGATATTGAGTGTCTGATTATATTTCTTACCAGCAGTGCACAGGAGTTCCAGTCTCTCCCTGTGCTCACCAACACCTGTTTTCTGGGTTAGTTGTTGTTGCTACCTTGTACTGTTTTTGCTTGGTAATGATCATCCTACTGAGTGTGAAATGGTATCTTATTGTGGTTTTTATTTGCATTTCTCTAATGATTACTCATCTCAGGTATCCTTTCATATGCTTACTGATCATTTCTATATCTGATATACTTGCCTCAGCTGCTTTTTAATGAGTGCTTTTCAACGGCTTTTAACCGCTCCAGGTTGCCCCAGATGGAAGGTTGCTAACATTTGCTTTCTTTGCTTCGTCTTTGGTATCAGTGCCAGTGATTTCTAACTTCTTTTTCAGGTAGATTTAGTTTATCTTTATAAGAAAATAGTTAATTCTTTATTAATTTTTATTTCACTCATCCAGTCTCTCGGTTCTTAAAAAAGGTTCCTCATTCTGTGTGTGTGTGTGTGTGTGTGTGTGTGTGTGTGTGTGTGTGTGTGTGTGTGTGGTACTGGGGATGGAACTCAGGACCTTGTGCTTGCAAGACAGGTGCATTGCCACTGAGCTACATCCCTGGCCTGGTCCTCATTCTTTTAAAGTGAAGCCTCATATACTTTCATTGAATGCTTTTCTGCATATTAAGTTTTTCATACTTTTGGTAAAATTTTTTTAATAATTCTCATAACCCATGACCCTGCTTTGTGCTAGTGAGAAGAGGAGATGTCCTGGCAGCCTGGAGTGGAATCCGACCCCTCGTTACAGATCCGAAGTCTGCAGATACTCAGTCCATCTCCCGAAATCATGTTGTTGACATCAGCGAGAGTGGCCTCATCACAATAGCTGGTATGGAATATCACCTTGTTAATTGAATGTTCTTTAGACACAAACTTGACTAAATTGTCCCTTGAGATTCTCTTCTAACTAGAGAACAAGTGTTTTCTTTTTATGATATTGAAGAGTCTTAACATTGGCCTGCTGTGTTTATTATAAACAATAGGTGATTTTTGTAATTAGTAAGTTGATAAATGGTTAATTATAAAAAAACTAAGGGGTAGCAATTTCTCTGTAGGTGGGAAGTGGACAACTTACCGATCTATGGCAGAAGATACTGTGAATGCTGCAATCAAGGTTCATGATTTGAAAGCAGGACCTAGTAGAACAGTTGGACTTTTCCTCCAAGGAGGCAAAGATTGGAGCCCCACACTGTACATTAGGCTTGTCCAGGATTATGGTCTTGAAAGTGAGGTGTGTATACATTACCACATCATCTTACCTGACTTATTTTTATCTCTTACTATTACTGGCAACAGGATTGGCAATCATTGTGGCCTCCTTGATTTAGAGTACCCTTTTGCTGAGTACATTTCTTTCATGTACTGTAAAAGTAAACTAAAAAAAGGTGATCCTTTGCCATAGATGCTTAAGTTCTCTAAAAATCAACAGTAATTTAAATTTCTATTCTGAAATGGGGGTCCATCTGGTTTATTGTTATTACAGAGAGCTTCTCAAATTCTTTCCATCCTAAGCATAAAAAAAGCTGTTCTTCAGAAGTGATATCATGAGCAAAATGAATCTGAAGCTTCATTAGTCATTGATACAGTGATACACGAGTAGCTGAGTTAGTGCTGGCCTAAGCATTTGAAGGCCAAGCAGTTTCCTCCCACAAAATCAAAACCCAATACTCTCTGAGAACTATTAGTTACATGCTGTAAGAAAACTGACAAAGTAAGCATGCTCTTTTTTCTTTTTGCTTTGTACCTAAAATGTATTGGTAGTTAAAGTCCCAGCCTAATGCAATTTTGTTCATGCAGGTGGCACAACATCTTGCTGCTACTTACGGTGACAAGGCTTTTGAGGTGGCCAAAATGGCAAGCGTGACTGGAAAAAGGTGGCCTATTGTTGGAGTGCGACTTGTGTCAGAATTTCCATATATTGAAGCAGAGGTATGTGAATGGTCCCATGGGTATTTTTGTCTGCCATGGAATCTCATTCATCTCTTCATTCTTTATTTTCTTTAAAAATTGCAAGTAACTAAGTTTTGATGCATATGTGTTAGCTAAAACTCGAGAAACGTGTCTGTCTGCCCAGTGCAGGTTCTTTCATTCACAAAATTTTAATTCTGAAATGATGTTGATAATGATAATAATAAAATAGACTTAATTCTTCTTGTTGGAGCTATTCCAAGTCTTGTGAATTCACAGCTCTTTTTTCCTTTTGTGAATTTTTTTTCTCTGGAGCGTGTGTCACTGATTTCTTGCATGATGGGTGTACTTTGCTTTGACAGTTTCTTAAATATCTTAGGTCTTGTTTTTTTGTTGTCAAATGTTTTGAAACCTGATATCATGTTTTATTTGTGATTCATGATGCCTTAAAACACTACTATACAGAAACCAATTACTTTTTCATTGAATTCAGTTTCTGAATTTTCAGCTTACTCTTGAGGAGTAGGGACTATAACTTTTCTGTACTCTTCCTTTGCCTATTCAGTTATATAAATTAACTTCCCTATCATGTCTAAGCAAATAGAAGTAAATGAGTATTGTAAGTGGTTAGTGGGGAGTGGTGCAGTTTGCGCGTTTATACCAGGCTGTATTTGGGAGGAAGGCATTAACTCTTGTCCAATTTATCCCATTTTCCAAGTCCTCCTTGGAGCTAAGATGGAGGACTTGTATTATGTCACTGTTTGTCTGATGTGTCCTGCAAAACCAAAAACCATAAACAGGAATGTCACCTTTTCAGAGCATTGGTTTTTTTAAGTGAAACTTTATTTCCTCTTTTTAAATAATCTTTCTTTAATTTAGGTGAAATATGGGATTAAGGAGTATGCCTGCACTGCCGTGGACATGATTTCACGCCGCACTCGCCTGGCTTTTCTCAATGTCCAGGCTGCAGAAGAAGCCCTTCCCAGGATTGTTGAACTGATGGGCAGAGAACTGAATTGGGATGAGAAGAAGAAAGAGGTATTATGTAGAAGTCTTTTAAACCACATATCCCTTTATAACCATGCCATGGCCTGGTCAGATTGGAGAAGCTAGTACAATGTGTGATGGCAATATGAAATTTGTTGTGAATTTGTGAATTTCTGTGTGTGTGTATATATTTAGTATTGCCATGCCTTAGGAAAGTGGAAATATATTCTTGTACCAAAATTGTATTGGTCCTGGAAAAGATCTCACAGAGAATGCTTTTAAATTCATGGTCATCATTCCTGGAAAAGAAAGGTATGAATGTGGGCTAGAACCTCCTCTGGATTTCACTGAAAATACTCTTAGATGTATTCAGTGAAATTCATACTCTTGCTAATTTGTCTTTGGTATGAAATAGCGGTTTCACTGTCTGACCACCAGGTACTTATCATTTGTGTCATTTGAGATTTTATGTTTATATCCTAACTTTAATAATAAAGCCAGAAGTGCTTATATGCATATATTATTGTAAACACACACACACATACACACACACACAAACACGATACCTGAGTTTTTTATAATAAACAGAAAATCTATATATATTTCTAATTAACCCAAACTTTTGAGGCCTATGACATATTTTCATAAATTAAAAAAATACTTTGAGCACTTCCTGGGTTTAGTTCCTTTCTCCCTGCTGTCTCTTGAATCCATTCAGTTTGGCTGTTTTTACTACCACCACCTTGCTTTATGAATCCTGGTCAGTCTCCCCAGAAATAATCCGTGTTGCTCAATATACAAGTCTCAGTCCTCATTTTACTGAACCATTGGCAGGAATGACACAGTTGGTTCTACATTCTTTCTTTAACTGCTTTCTTAACTCTGGAAGACCACTTCTTTTGAATCACCTCTAACTCCTCTGAACTTTCCCAGTCACATGTAACTATTCTACCAGTTATGCTTAGGCATAAATCTTAGTATCATACTTTATGCATCATCTCACACCCTATCTAAATCCATCAGCAAATCTTAGCATATTTATCTTCAAATAGAATTTGAAGTAAACCTTTTCTCTACACATTCAACTCCTATCACCCTGATTCAGGCTCCTAGTAGCTCTCATATGAGTTTTGTTTTGTTTTGTTTTGTTTTGTTTTGCTCTTGGTACTGGGGATCGAACTCAGGTGCTTGAGGGAGGCAGTGGAAACACTGAGGTAAATCCCTGAGCCCCTCTCATATGAGTTATTTTAGATTGACCCTTGTATTGCTGTCTCTCCTTTAACAATTTACAAACAGGTCCAAACCATTGGATATTGTCAGTCAAAAATTCAGAGGGATATCCTAAGCTGGACATATTAATTCAACTTGGCTTTCAGCTGTCAAACTGAATGAGATTATAGAAAGAGTTAGTGTATCTAGGTGAAAGTGGCTCCAAGGCTGATCCCTGGAGCACTGTCAAGAAGTTGCAAAGATAAGCAAGAATCAGGAGTAAGAGGAAGAGCTAATGAGTCAGTATGAAAAGACCAAGAGCAAGTTGTGGCACAGAGGGTAACTTAGTCCATTAGAGCTGCTCACAGATACCATAGACTATATGGCTTATAGCAAACATTTATCATAGTCCTGGAAGTTATGAAGTCCAAGATCAAGGCACCAGAAAATTTGAGGTTGGGTGGGGTCCTGCTTCCTGATTCATAGACAGATGTCCTCTTGCTGTTTTCTCACATGGCATAAATGAACATTATTTAGCATCTGTGTCATATGCTGAATGAGCAAGGAGGAACCGGACATCTGGCCTTGTCCATGAAACATTCTTCTTTTGGTGTAGAGTCCCAAAGATGGTTACATATCAGAGTCACCTGGAGAATATGGTGGAAAAGGCAGATTTCAAGGCTCAACCTAACAGTGTCAGAGTCTTCAGAGATGAGAACATGTTTTATATTTTCAAAATTATCATCTAGCAATTTTAATGCACTGTATTATAGTATACTGATGGTGGAGGTCACTGGCCAAACAGAGTGACAGTGACTTAATCATGATCATGCTTCTGTGGGGGATATCCTTCATCCCATTTTATAGTTGAGAAAACATGCTCACAAAGAAAATCCTTGTCAGAGTTCATTAGAGCAGTAAATTGTGGCGCTAGCATTGAAACCCAGTATTCTGATCCCAGAGCATAAGCTTTCCTCACTCTGCCCTATTGCCTCTGCATTAGCTGAACTAGTTTGTAGCTGTTCCCGTTTTGAGTTGTAGTTTGATCAGCAAAAGTTACGAACAGAGGCAGTACAAGAATTAAACTTACTCCTGTGCTCCTGATAATCACTTTAACCATGCTGAAGGAAATGGGGATAATAAGTTCTTACAGAAATTGTAGTTGAAATGATTTGAATATGTAGCAGCATATTTTGTGCAAGAAATTCAAGCAGTATAAGGTAGGAAGGAGGAAAAATTTCTGTAAACTGGTTATGTTTGACCTTCCTAGGAAACTAGATTTATTTAACCTCATTTCAAATTTTATAAGCAGATTTATGTGCTTAGAAATACTCTTCCATTCCTTTTAGTAACAAAAATAAAAGACCTAAAGCTATTATTCAGTACCTGAGACATGAAGTATTAATGAGAGACTTGGACAGTCTAGAGAGAACAAAGGAGAGGGAGGAAAAAAAAAGAATTAAAAGGTTAGAAAGTTGGACTTCCGAGAAAAGGTTAAAAGCATTGGGATTATTTAACCTGCAAAACTGAAAGAGGAACAAGGTGATAAATAACTCTCTGTAGATGAATTGTGGTTGTTTTGCCGCTCAATACTTAATGAGTGACTTGTATACTGAACATTGCACCAAATATTTTAAGAGAATAATAAATGGCTTATAGTTTCAAGGAAGAATCTTGAAGTCTAATCATGTAGTTACAATATACATAGACCTCAGAAATGTATATATGTTTTCAAAATTTAGGAAAATATCTCGAATAACTGTCATACTAGACTGAAATCCAGCCAACCTGGAAAAACTGACTAGGAAAGGAAGGCATTGTCCAGCAGAGTTTGGGGCTTGATAAGGATGTTGGCAATGACATTTAGAGAGAAACACTGCCAATCAAAGATTACTACTTGGTTAAAGGAGTAGGACATTCTAAGTTAAATAGAGAAAATTATTTTCTTTAGGCAATTTGGAAACTTTAAAATGCCTATGTGTATTGTCAAGTCCTAAAGAGAGCTTATTTTGAGACACCAGATTCTCACTCTTTGGGCTGAGCAGAAAGAGTTTTTAGTATTGCTTAGGATATATTTTAGGAAATGCTTCCCTGTAGAATTCGATACAGTCATTTTTGTAACTTTCACACAAGGAATAGAGTTCATTGACTTTAAAGAGGATAAATAACATGTAGATTGAACCTCACAAAAATGTATTCTCAGAGTCATTTTCAGTGAGGGAAGAAAGGAGGAACCAAATGAAGTGACTCTGGACAAAGCAAGCTGACAAACACCAAATTTAAAACAAGTAGAAGACAACTGCTCAACAACAATAGACTGGATATCAGGAATAATGTGGATGTGTATGGACAGTGTCAGGAATCAGTTGAATGATGAGGAAAATACTCTGAGATCAAAATGAGTTTTAAAAATCAAGAAGAATGCAAGTAAGGCCTAATCTAGATCACTGCTTAATATGACAACTAGTACAATCTTGAGTGTTGGAGAGAAGAGGGAAATATTCAGCTTATAGTATAATACCAATGTCATTTCCCTACCCCCCATACCACTGCCATGTGTGAAAACAGCAAAATAAAGGCTGGTATGGAGGAATAGGTACTCTAGGAGACCATTTGTCTCCATTAAAGGCTAGTCAGAGACGTTGCTGTTGAGATTACCTATTGTTAATCTTTAACATATTGTATCAGATTGGAACTAGCAGACAGAAGGTGGGCAAATGTAGTGTACCACATTTTAAAAAGGAGTGAAAGGGGGCCAGGGATTTAGCTCAGTGGCACCATGCCTTCTTTGCAAGTACAAGGTCCTAACTTAAAAAAAAAAAGATCAGAAAGAAAAACATAGTGTGCAACATACATAGAAACAGTTGTCTTAGCATTGCTATTGGATGGTCTTCTAAATTATTGCATTTTAAGTTTGGTAATTACATATTAACCAAGCAGTGGTGATTACTGGAAACTTACAAGGAATCAACTTAGTAAAAATTGGATTTTCTTTTTAGGTAGAGATGTAAGATCAGGGAAATACAGACATGATGTATATGTATTCCATAGAGTATTTTATAAAATTCCCTGTGATCTTTGTAAAATGGTAGATTTATAATCAGTCAGAATACCATTGTGGATCTCAGAGATCTCTGATAGCAGAACATAAGCACTTTGTCTTTGGTTTTGATCTAGTCTACCTTGGTTCAAGTGCTCATATTCCTAGGTTGAAGGCATGCATCTTTGATCTAACAATAACCAGAAACAGGTGAGTGAATGATGACAAATTGAAATGAGCGAAATTTAATTAAGTATAATTTAATGGTAAACTTTTCATTAGGTAGTTTTCATTAAGTAGTTGTTTTTACAACTCCATTTATTCAAGGTACATTTGACAAGGTTTAAAAGTAGCACGTGTAGAAAAAAGTACAATTTTAATTAACTGTGAATTCATAGTAGTTAACAGTGGATCATGACTTTTGCCAAATCTAATTCTACTCTTAAATTACATTAATAGAAATCTTGTATTTAGATTGATAAATGTGATAGTTATTCCCTTCTAGGTACTTGGCTAGATTTCTGTTGGAGCATTATGTTTTGTGCTGATAATTATATGACAGTATTTGTGGTCTAAAAGAAATTACCCAGCATGGCAGACATCATGTCATATGCAGAACAGTAGTTCTTTTTTTTTCTCTCTCTCATTGAGTTTATTGGTACTTTTTAAGTATACAGTACAGTTACATTCATCATTGGGATCTTGTACCTTTACATGACAGGTTTTGGTTCTCATTTTATACCCTTGTCCCTGCCCTCCCTTCGTGCCCCCTTCCCTAGTAGTTCTAAACTAAACTAAAAAAACAAATAAAAATTCTAAGGATGAAAGTACAGGACACTATCTTTATGTGTACTGAGATACAGAAAACAGACATTAGGTTTATTGTACTGTAGGAAAGTTTTGCTCATCCCAAACAAGTTTGAAGAATTGCAAGGAAGTTGATTAATTTCAGTATAAAATTTTGTAACAATTGGAGCCATTCTTTTCTGGGCTACTTTCAGAGGAATTGAATTACCTCTGAATTGCTAGAGTTCTTTAGATAGAGTCTTATTCCTCCGTTTTTGGAATGTTATGCAGGAGGTGGAGTTAGGGAAGTACATTATGACTCTGAAGGAAAAATCGCTCCCTGGCTTTGAAATGTCATGATTCCTTGTTTGATGGAATATGGATAAATTACCTAGGCAATAAAGGGACATGAATTTAGGAAGAGCTTATTGTTCGAGGGAAGCATCAGAGATGACATTTCCAAGGATATGAATTTTAAACTAGTTTGTAGAAAATGGCTAGTCAAAATTGGTGGAACAGCAAAATAATTTTTTGTAATGAAAACTGGTGGATGTTCTTATGTGTAGAGAGAAATCTGATAGTGAAGAATGCCCTTGGAGATGGAGATTTCATGGGCCAGTTTTAAACACACACACACACACACACACACACACACACACACACACTTTTCATTTTTTACACTCAAATTGTTTTTTGGCATTGGTAACTTTTTATTTTCTAACATTTTTGGAATTATTCCCTAAGATAAATTTCTCAAAGAAAAAAAGGAATAACATCAAGAGTTTTGTCTTCCCAAACAAAAGAGGACTATCATGTCTTATCGCTAACATAAGAAAACACCTATAGCCAAATTTCATAAAAGTGTGTGTGTCATTGTTTATTTCTTTTGTTTCACTTACTGACACTTCACATTTCAGAGTTTAGGACTCCTGGAAGTAATAACATCCTTTGATGGTTGGTTGAGGCATGTAAGATATGTTTTTAAGTTTCTGTAAGGTTATCCTGTGTAGCAAGTACCCTCAAGATGCCAGTGGTTTATCACAGCAAGCATTTATTTTCGCTCACACAAAACCTGCATCTTAGCTGCTGTGACCCTTCTTCACAACCAGGTTGACTTCAGGTCTCATCTGAGGCATACTGTTTTCATGGTAAGGAAGCAAAAGGCTAAGAAAAATTATAAAGTTACTTTCAGAGCTTTCGTTCAAAAGTGCTACCCCTGCTTCACTGGCCAAAGTCAGCCACATGATCAAGCTCACAAATGAGGGATTGAAAAGAATATGAATGGAAAAGAAGTGTGTGTGTGTGCACATTTATGTATATGAGAAAAAAGTGAGATTTGTAAACAAAATACATGTAAGAGTCACTTTGGAGTACTTAGCTGGGAGAGTGACGTGATGGAAATTAAGCATAGTGTTTGCAGCAATAGTCAGGACCTGGTAAGTTTGGGACATTGAAAGCAGAGGGTAGCTTGTTTCTTCCTGACTATGTAACTGTCAAAAACCTTGTGGCAAAATTTCAATGTAGTTAATTGCATGGTGTCTGCCTTGGCACTGGATGTGGTATTACAGTATTTGTTCAACTCCTACATATCTTTCCTTTTATTTGCTTTTTTGTTGCCAAACCACAATAATTTAGTCCTGTAGGATTTGGTGATCAATACTGTGCAAGAATATTCTGCAGTAAAAAGAAACAAAATAATAGGAAGAAAAGGGCTAAAGGTGTAGGGAAGTGGGAAGGGTAGGGGAAGGGAAATAAGGGAAAAGAAAAAAATATGAGAAAATAAAAAAACGGAAATGAAGTCTTTATAAATAGGGAGGGAAGGAGGTGAAGGGGGTGCAGGGTATGGGGAAAAAATGAGAACCATGACCTGTCATGTAAAGGTACAAGAGCCCAGTGATGAATGTAACTGTACTGTATACTTAAAAAGTACCAATAAACTCAATAAAAAATAAAAAGAAACAAAATATTAAAGCATATAGCAACATGAATCACTTTGATATGTGAGAGCAGTCAAATATGGAAGCCTACAGTCTATGTAAAACCTTTTATATGACATTCTAGAAGAGGTGAACTCTGGTGACTGGGAGCAAATCAAAAGATGCCTGGGGCCAGAGGTCAGAGGAAGGAATTCACCAGATAGAACAGTAAGCTTTCTAGAGTGATAGGAATGGTCTGTATCTGACTGTAGTAGCATACATATCAACTTGTATATGTAAAAGAAGTGTATTTTATTGAATGTAAATTTAGCTTCAATAAAACTGAAAGAAAAAGTATGCTAGTCATGTAGTGAAGGTCACCTTCCTTTTTGAAGACTAAAAGGAAGAAGGGCAAAAAGATCAATATTTTTTCCTACAAATCTTTGAACTTTGTGTATGTGGCTCTGTTTTAGAAAGAACTTGAAACAGCCAGAAGGTTTCTCTATTATGAAATGGGCTATAAATCTCGATCAGAACAGTTAACAGATCGCTCTGAAATCAGCCTACTGCCTTCAGACATTGACAGGTACTGCTAATAAGTTTCTGGCTCTGTCCCTTTTTTTTCGTGTTCATGTAAGTATATTTTACCATTATTCAAATGCTGTATTCCAGGTACAAGAAGAGATTCCATAAGTTCGATGCAGACCAAAAAGGCTTTATTACCATTGTTGATGTTCAGCGTGTATTAGAGGTAATATTGGTAGAAGCTTAATATAAATCTTGATAACAGAAGAATATAAAGATGAAAAGATGGTATTATGTGACCTTTTCTCATCTAGTGTTTTCTAAAAATAATATTTTTGTTTTAATTTTTGAAAATTTGGTGACATTAGACACAAGATATGCATCATTTTTAATCAAACCATTTTTTTGTGTATTTTACTTAGAGTATCAATGTGCAAATGGATGAAAATACATTACATGAAATTCTGAATGAAGTAGATTTGAACAAAAATGGACAGGTAGAACTCAATGAGTTTTTGCAGGTGAGTTGTGGTGAAAGGAAATGGATGTATTTGCTTTTATCTTTTGATTGTCATTATCCTAAATGGATGTTCAGCAGTGAATTCTGAAGTTCACCCATTTGTCACTTTGTTCAGAAAAACAAGAAGGTTAAAGCCAGCAGTGATTCATTTGTCTGCCATCAGGGATAAGGCTCTACTTTGTGCATATTCTTTTTCTTTCTTTTTTATAAGAAACATTGTGTTGTATTTGGCACTAAAATCCAAGTTAAGTATGGCTTAAAGGGTTTAATTAAAAAAAACTTGCTTTATAAAGATGTATGTCATGGAATATCACTATGAGTGAGACTTATTCACTTACATCAAGAGAGGGAGCGCAATATTTCTAATGTGGAAAGTTAATATTTTATGGAAGAAATTTCAAAAATTGTACTTGAGGGCCAGGGACTTAGCTCAGTGGTTCCACGGACTACCTCATAAGGGCAAGGATCAGAGTTCAATACTCAGTACAAAAAAATAAAAATGTATTTGAAGTCATTTAAGAATCATATTTACTTGAAAATGTAACTATTAGATTTTTTACATGCTAAAGAGCCAGAAAAGCAAAAGAGAGGAAACTTGTACTCTTGGATCAAGACCACGTCATAGTTTAAACATTTCCATTTCCAATTTTCAACTTATTGAAGTTTCAATTATTTAATGTTTGTAACCACAGAGGAGATAAATTTTGTTACTTTACCTTCAAACTGAATGCTACACATCAGTTCCTTAAAAGCAAGAAATTCACTAAACCAGGGCATTATTTGTAGCTGTCCATGGGACTCTGATCATGTGAAGAGCATACTGGTTTCCAGGCAGCCAGGTTATTTTCTGTAATGCTTCTTGGGCAGGTATTTCAAATGAATGCCAGGTCTTGCTTGCACCATGGCAATGATGAATGCTGAACATGAAATAAATTAATGCTGGGGATTTTGGTCAATGTCAGCCCTTTCTTCACTGTGTCAAGTTAAACAAACAAGATCAAGGCAAAGGAAATGGTAATTGTCTCTCTGGAGATGAGCTGCTGATAAGAGCATTGTTGAATCTAAATGCAGAAAATTTTCACAGGTTGTGTCCAGCATTACAAAAAAGAATGTTTAGTTCTTTAGCTTGCTGTTTAACTAAATGCACATTTGAAATTGAATATGAAATTTCTCCTTGGCAATTGGAAACCATTTAATTCTTTTTGTATATTTTTTTTCTGGAGAATATTTAATTGTCTCAGAATTAAAAAAAAAAACTTTAGTTCAAAGAAATGGCGTATGCTTCGTTCCAAGTGCACTGTAAATAATAGCATTCAAGATTGAAAAACCTGGGTTTCCGAAACAAGAATCTAATTTTATAGATATGCTATATTGTTTAGCTTTTAAGTAATTATCTTGAATTTAGAAGAGTTAAGCACATAGATAATAATGTAAGCCACCTGCTGGTTTTCTTGTAGAGTTTTAAAATAATTGAGTATTTCTTGTCCAATTCTAAATGAAAGAGCCTAGTCATGCTTCTAGTAAGTACAGATATAGTGTACTTTTCAATGTAAAAAACGCAGACCATATTTCTCATGAAATATATTCACATCCAAATACACCTTTTTTCTTTTATGATTTTTAGTTACATGTAATATTTAATGGTTATGCATGTTATACTTTTTATGGCTACAAGAAAACTAGTTCCATTGTTTTGTTAGCTCTGATAAACTTTGAAGGTCTTCCTGGAATCAGAAAAAAACAATAAACAATAAATTCTTCCATCTTTAGATGTCACAATTCCTTATATTACACCATTTTTCAGTTGTAAAGTATATTTCAGGTCTAACAAAACATTTTTATTTTCTGAAGATTAACAGCCCATGTTTATCCTGCTAAACATCTATTTGTGAATATTGATTTTTAAAAATCGTTTTCATGGAAGGATCACTATAGATATTGCCAGGTTACATGACTTCATTTCCCAGATTTGGGCTTTAATGACGCTTCTGCATCTAGGAGTCCATCTCTAATAAGCAATCACTTGTGAAACAGCTTTTAATAAGGTCACGAAATTCTGATCCAGCCCCTTGGCAGATGCCTCTGATTCCTTTTGAGAGCTGTTTTAAAGAAATGCATCCCTACAGGCTAAAAGCTGTAACCCTAAAATTATTTAAATAATTTTCATATGCATTTTTTCTGCTGAACAGCTCTGTTCTTAAATAAATGAAAAAGATTAGAAAATGAAATCAAGAATAGCAAATAGTTAAAACCACATCAACTTGAAATGGAAAAAAATCCTTATGTTCATAATTGCAAGGTGCTTTCCAGATTAAAGGCCTTTGCCCACTGACTGCATGTAATTTCAAGACTAATTCTGATTTTATCCATTGGATAAAAATGAATTAGCTAAAATCTGGGCTGTGGAGTGCCTTTAATTCTTAGGGTAGATCTCTGGGTCCATTTTCAAGGACTCAAATGTAAATTATTTTAAAAAGTCTTTAAGGAATTTGGACTTAGGGGACTCATTTGTCAAGTACAGTAACACTGAAAAATAAAGAATAGTTAAATATAGGTCATGGTTTCTTTGTTCAATCCTTGAGATTCCTTTTTAAGATTTTTAAATGGAATTAAGGATCCAATATTTGAAGTTTCTTAAAAACATTGTGTTCTGCCTGAGCACATTAAGGAGCAAAAAGTGATACATTATATTTGCTTTCAAAGGCTGACTGATTTGACTGGTAGACATTGTTTTTGCAGCAGTGTTGAAATACATGTCCATTCCCCTCTCCCACTTTTTAAAATGTTTGAAAATGGTGCATTTTTATTTGAGCTGCATTATTTTCTTTGGGTTTTAATGGAGCACTTAGTTACATCTGCCTGCTACAATGGTATCCATACAGTGCTAGAGGAAAATAATTTAGTGGACTGCCTTCTGAGTCTGTTTCATATTTTCTTTTCAAGCTGATGAGTGCTATTCAGAAAGGAAGGGTATCTGGAAGCAGGCTTGCTATACTAATGAAAACAGCAGAAGAGAACCTCGACCGAAGAGTTCCGATTCCCGTGGACCGTAGTTGTGGAGGATTGTGAGTCTGACCAGTAAATCCACAGCCAACAAAATTAGGAACAACAAATCACCATGTAATAACCAGAGAGGACTTACACCACTCTAAAATCGTGGATATGGTGGCTGCCTTTTTTTTTTTTAAACACTGGAAAACATTCCAAAAGATTAAGATGTTGGTATATTTACCAGCCTAATGGAAACTATTTGTATATACCATCCAATCTGGCTTCTACAAAGTGTACTTTCTCATTTTCAGTGCACATTGATTTCATATTTTGGATCCATTTTGTGACCTGTTAGACTTGTTGCTCTGGCCCCTTGATTATTCATGTATTCTAAATCAGTTCTAGAAGCCGAATATTTTGGCATAAATCGAAGAAAACAGCTGGAAACCTTTTGTGGCATGCATAAAACTCTGGACATTGACTTTGTGGATAGCATTTTTTTTTTTTTTGGTACCAGGGATTGAACTCCGGTCCTTGCACTTTCAAGGCAGGCCACCGAACCGCTTAGCTAAATCCCTGGCCCTGGATAGCATTTCTTAAAAAGAGTGACCTATTGAAATGATAGCCCCTTTCTTCCTCCAGCTTGTCTCTTCCTTTTCCAGACAGTTGCACAATTTTATATCTTGAGTGTGACTGGCAAAACTGAAGAAGAAAGAAAAAGTTTAGATCTGGTTTAGATCTGGTTACAAGTCTCAGAGTGAGACGCTGAAAGCTTCCAGAATCACAGGTGGATGATAAGGATAGCATTGGCATTTACTAGGAGTTGCAGTGATAGTTTCATCTCAGCAGTTCATTTTTTTCCTCAGTCACTGCTGGTTTTCTTTGACTATTGTAGTTGCCAGGAAGATCCTTGATTTTCTTACTTTAAAACAAGCATTTTAAGTGGCAAGTTGGATGCAATGGAATGAGACTGTATCTTTCCAGTTTTTGCAGTGTGATACATTTAAGGGTTAAGAACATGTGTTCATTAAATTCACGTATAAAATAATTTTCCACCCCCAAATCCTAAATTTGGAGCAGTTGATATTGTCAAATTTGGTCTTTTTAGGTGATTATTTACAAACATAAATGAGAATAGAATAGATGCTAATTTTCATTATTTGTAAAATAAGGTACCACCTTTCAATATAAGAGGCTAGCCTTGCTACTTAAAGTCTTTCTCCTTTTGTACTCTGTGGTAAAATTCCCACTTGAACAAAAATAAACAAAAGAAAAACTACCCCCAACACACACAGACCAAAACCTCAAATCAGTATATATTGAATTTAACAATTAATGAGGTGAATTAAAAATGCCAGTTTGGAATGCTTTTGCTATATTTTGTTGGCATTTTAATTAGTCTTAATATTTATTAATCGTGCTTCCTATTTTGAAGCTATCTACTGTACTTTTTTTTTTTTTTTTAAAGATTAGGTTCTATATGTCATAGAAACTAAAAGGAAATAAAACCACTTTATCTTATGGTAGGTTTTCATTGCACATTCAGGTCTTATTTTTTAAACAGGGATATAAAACACTTTTGTGCTATAATTTCTATTTATGTCAACATTGTAGAATATCTTTATGCCTCACTCAGGTGGGTGATGAGCCTGCATGTCATAATATGAGCTAGGAGGTTCTCTAAACCGAGGCCCTATCTGCCACCTCTGAAACAAACAGAAGCCATAGGAAGAAACAGTATTTTAACTCATTTTATTTTTAAATGAAGTTTAGATACCACTTCCTAAAGGAAAACCTAAAAGAGTGAGTGATGCTCTTAGATGTCACTGTGAATTTTTTTTTTCTTTCAAAGTGTGAATTTTTTACTTTAGTTTTTTTTTAAATAAATGAAGCATGTGACTTTGCAACCTAGTGTTTTTTTCTGCCAAGACAATAGATTTCACTGTTTAGAGCCCAGTGATACTAAATAGATAGAAGAGCTGTCCTTTAAAGCATCCAGATTATATACCACAATATTGTTCACTCTCTCTCTCTCTTTCTCTCTCTCTCTCTCTCTCTCTCTCTCTCTCTCTCTCTCTTTTCTAGTTAGATCAAGATAACGATGAGTTGTGTCCCCTCTGATTCTGTTACAGTAGGGACTGAGCTCACAATGTGACTGGCTTGGGCAAATCTGTGTTTTAAAACAGGCCTTGATTGTGCACGTTTTGCTACAAATGAAGTTCCTTTAAGGACAAAGAAGAGTGCACTTGTCTTCATTTTAGAGTGTCTGATTTTGCTTAAAACCTGCAAATTCTAAAATACATGCTCCTTCACCAATCCCAGAGGCTCATTTTGGAAATGAACTGGTTTCAAGCTCTTTCTGTGAATAAAGTACCAAGCATCATTGTATAATTTCTTACACCTGGAAAGCTTCTTTATCTGATTTAAGCAAAAGGAAAATAGGAGAATAACCTCCTCCAAAAGCCATTCCAAGCACTAAACAATTTTTGTTTTGGTTGTTGTTGTTGTTGTTTCCTTTCACATAAACACAATATGAGTTCATTCTGTTGGGGTAGGTGTGCAGGGATTGCCTTTTATCGCCAGCGATTTATTTCTAGAGTCTTTGAGGGGATTCAGGTGAAGGAACCCGCCCCATCTATGCTGGAGAGTTGGCCACTCCATGAAATAGCTCCCATCTCAATCATAACAGTAGTGATAATGCTGAATTATTTGTCAAGTGAAGGTTGTTTGCCTCATATCCATCATGCTTACATGTTCTTGCTTTCAATCAGTTTATATTGAGTTCAACTTTAGGATTTCTGCTATTAAATGCATGCTTTCTATTCTGCATTAGTTTCTGGCTTTGCTTTGTCTGTTCAAAATGCGTAGTTTCCTCTTTTGTACTGCAAAATTTTCAGTCTGACTTCCATTAAATATACTGTAAGAGTCATTCTTGATTTTATTTTCCTCTTCTTACACGATTCATAAAGAGTTTTTGCCATATGCCTATAATCATACTGAAGTAAGTGACTCTAACTTGCACTGTTTTGCATTATGTTAACCTTTTTAAGAGAATTAAAAATGCCCTGCTATGTTTTCCAAGAATATCAAGCATAAGCAAGCCAAGTACTGGAGTGGATATATACCCTGCATGTTTTTATATGTGGCACTTTTATGTATTGTGTTGGGTTATTGTTCTAGATTGGACTGTTAAATGCTATGTTTGAGGCTGGGTTGTCATTTTTATAACTGTCTTGGTGTTTTATCACCATTATTTATTACTTTTGATATACAGAATGAGCTGCATGCATTTATAGAGCAATAAGATATATTTAATGTGCCTTGTTTTTAACTGAATAAGAACCGAAAGCATGAATCAATAAAACTGATTAAAATGGTCCATTTGCTGCCATTCTGATGTTATGTGCAGTCAAATAACTTTGATTACTGTTGAAGTTCTTTAAAAAGTTTGAAAATATCTCCAGAAACTATATTTTTAATGACACAATGTTCTATTAGCTTGGAATTTTGTAACTTTATCTCAAAAGCGAAATATCTACCTAGATAGATATAATTTCAGGAGACTATAAGAATTATTTGTATTAATTTGTTACTGAAGCCTTTCTAACGTGACTTCTGTATTTGTGAAATCCTATTCTAAAATTACATTTTTCCTATTACAACTAAGTTGAATTCTTTTTTACCTCACCCCCACCCTTTTTTTTTAAAGCTCACAACCAGAACCTTTCAGCCTACGCATTCCCAGGCACACTGATGAATTTTATCATAACTAAAATCAATAGAAATGAATGGGAAAGATTACATAATCCATTTTGATCATCTTACATGTCAAGTTAGTGCTGGGTTGCCAAGTGTTGATAAATGCTCTGACAGAAAAAAAATGCTGTATATTTTCATTGTCAGTAAATCAGTAAAGCTGTGATCAGTTTTACTATTGGACAGATTTTATAATACTCATGTTATTTTACAGGTTTTAATTTGTAGTTGTGCATGGAGTATTTTCTATATTTGTGCTTTAGGGGTGCTGCTTCCTAGTTCTGTATGCTAAAAGGGATTCATGAGCTGCTGAAGCTTCTTTCAAATTATATAGAATACCCCAAAGCAACAGCTCCCAGGCTAAGTTGGAACAATGAACTATTTGTTCAGTGTCTGCAAAAAAAATAGCACTTCAAAACAGTTTTCATTGATCCATCTTATCAAATTTGTTAGCATTTTAAAAGTTGTTAGCATAAAATTTGTTAAAATACTGCCCCCAGTTTTCAAAATATGTAAAATCATTGGTCCTAAAAAATGGGAAATATGATACTAGCATCAATATTTTGCAACTTTTGTCAACAGTGCATTATCACTGGTGTCAGATTTTGCTTGATCGTGTTTAACTTATGATGGAAAGAAGCAATAGTTTTAAATGGATCTGGCACCCGAATAATGAGGGAATTTGTGTATAAGAGACAAAAGCCAATGATTCTTTTGTGCCTGAGCCTTGTATTTTAGCTTTCTCGTTAGCTAGCTAACTTGTGAAATACAAACACAGAACATGATGTACGTAAGCATTGATGGTACCACAGAGTTCTCCAAATCCTTTGCTTAGAAGGTTGTAGGTCTTTTGAAAAATCAATAAATATTTTTATATTTGTTAAATACACGGTCCAGCATAATAAAATTTGTGTGATCTAATCACAGTAACTGCTTTAGGAGGATTATCAGTACCATCTTTGTTCTCCACGTTTGGCATTGATTTGAATGGCTTAGCATATCCTACAGTAGGTATTCACATCGGAGATACTTGAATCTGAGGAGGTTAACATTGTTATAATGTAGATAATATATCATGTTTCATTGGATGAGATAGGAGGTTTACATTTTGTAGATCCAGCCTTGAATATTGGCAATTGGTGTAGGGGGTTCCATAGCTTCTGAATCTTTCAAGCCCACTGTTTTGTGTCTTAAGACGATTGTTGCACTCATCTCCAGGGCCAGTGGCTCCTGTAGAAACAGGGTCACTTTTCATCTTTATTGGCTACTGCTAGCTTTCTTTCATTGTGTCAAAGATTTTGGACATGGTAGGTGAATGGATATATAAGAAAAAATTAAATTTTTTCTTTTGGTTCTGTTACCTGTAGAAATCAATTTTGCTGAAGGAGAATCTCAAATTGGCAAGTGATTTTTCACACTTACAGAATTTCTTTGTTTCAACCACAGATTAGATCTAAATTCGATATTATATTTTTTAAGTTCAACTTAGGGATATCTGATTTTGTTTATTTAAATGATCCAGCTGTAATGAGCTCATTCAAGACATTACTGTTCTTTAACCTGACCTCAATGACTTTTTTTAAGCAAGCTAACTTCTGCTTCCAATGGTTTAAACAAATAGTCACTTCTTCTATTTTATTTGTTGCTCCTTAGATTTTCTCACTGTTGCTTCGGTATCATATTTTTGTTTTTCATGCTCATCATTAATTGATTTACAGTTAATTTTTATGCATACAGAGTTTTTTCTGAGTTAAGAAGCTGTACATCTTAAATCCACTGAAATGACAGAAATATTTCATTTTACCCCATGAATCATTTGCCATCCTTATTGCAGAAAAATGGCAAAATTATGGTGACCATGTTTTCATAAATTACCCCCCCATGCTACAGTTCATTTCATTATCTGTTTGGAAAGACCGAGTCAGAATCCAGACACTTGTGGTAAACAATTCTGATTTTATAGCAGGCTAATCAAAATTTCATAGTGTTACAAATTAATTCCTCTGATACTGTAAAGAATTAAATTTGTGTACAAAATGTATCATATTTTTAATAAATAAAAAGTAGCTTGATATTAAAGTACATCCTGTGATTGCTACCATAGCAGAGGGGAAGAGTGCTGAATTCCTTAAATAATGTATATAATTTTCATTGAGTTTCATATGTCAAAGAACTCATTTATGTCCTGAAAGGTGTATGCTTTGGACTATGTGTTTGAACACTATTAAAAAATCATGGCTTCTTCCAAAAAGGACAAATCGTAGGCTTGCATTTCACATATGACCTAGAAAGAAATAACTTATACAGGGACTTCACCTCACTCCAACCCCTCTAAGGAATACCCTTAAAAATAAAAACAAAATATTTCTAAAATAAAAATATTTAAAAGCAATAAATGAAATTATTCACTATGTT